CTCTCTCTCTCTCTCTCTCTCTCTCTAATGGGTGACTCCTCACTAACTCCTCCCTTTCCGTTGATCTTGCCAGTCCCACTTCCTCTCTCCCTCCTTGTGTCCTCCACTCATTTCTCTTTCTTTCCAGGCCTCACAGTCCTTCTCTCTCTTTGCCTTTTCCTGTTGATCCTCCTTCCATTTATCACTTGCCTCTTTCAACCATAGGAATTCACTCTTATGTTACTTCTGCCAGATAATATTCCAGCACACATTCTGTTTTAGTTAAAGCTCCATTTTACTTAATCCACCCCTCATTTGTCCCAAAGCTAAAAATCCTGCTGGTCTCTTTTGTTCCTGAAAGCAGATGTTCAGGGAGAAACTGATATGAGACCAAACCTTTCATTTGGATTTTCCAGCTAGATATATTTTAGGGAAGAACTTGGAAAAAGACACATCACACACACAGTGGCAACAGCTGCTTTTAGCCTGAATCTTTACATTTGCTCTGTTGTATTTAACTCTGCAAACTGGTTAACATTTTTAGGCTGATGTTTATTTGAAACCTTTAATATCTGCACTAGCAGATGTTAAAGAAACCAGCAGCAATTTTTATGTCAAAATACATTTAATAAATATCTTTATATCTATAGAATATTCCATACTAATACAAATGGGGAAAATAGTTTAAAGAATGCTCTTTGTAACATTGTACTGTTGTCTTGACACAAGACAGTGCCCTACAATCTACAGCTACATAAGAGTTTCACAATAATAAATAATCCACTTCCAATTTGTGTTTGAGGCTAAATTATCCAGATTAGAGTGTCTTAACTGATTGTCAATGATACTTACAGTAGTTCACTCACTCTATGGCTTTATTTTCCGCCCCTAGAACTGTGACATTTTTAGCTTAGACCATGACTAACTCTCACACTGACTCTCTTGTTTGAATGGTCAGATCTGTGGTCTTCAAATGCTGGGACATCAATGAGAAAGGGGAAGGAAAACCTTTGGCAGTGGTTGCACGTTAGTCCCTCTGTAATGTATGAAGTGTCATGACTGTGGTTGGTTGTTCTTCTGATAGAATCAATTAACATATTTCATTCATCCCTGTGCGTTTCCTCTCAAGCGTCCATTTCCCCAGGTCAGAGACAGAACGGTGGCTTTGACGCAGCTCAAGATGAACCACTGAGCTATGAGTCATGTCCTAGATGAACTAAATAAGTCTCACCTAAAGTCTGTGAAGGTGGGTGCAAAAGAAAAGCTGATGCATCAAATAAACACACATGCCAGAAAAAAAACACTTTGCCTGGGGTTACAAAAATATCAGCAATCCACTCTGCCAGGTCTGTCCCAAGAGATTTTCTGTTCTGTAGAGTAATACATGTGCCTTTCATACATAGAAAGCTGACCAGATATAATAATAAAAAGGAGGAACCCCCCACCCCCCCACCGACTCATCACTCATCTGCTGCGGGTTTCTCTTTCTGTTTCTGCTATTCCTGGCTAAAAAATGAAAACAGCCCATTGAGGCAAGAGGAAAAACAACCTGACCTGAAGAGAGAAGAAAAACAGACTTGTTTTTGCAGAAAAAGAGATTTGGCTCCTTTTGGAGATGTTTCAGTGTCTGATGAGATAAATGAAGCACAGCAGAGCCAATTCAGAGATCTGAAAAAGATATTCTTCAGCTCAACTGGTAATGACGATGCACACAGAGATAAGCAGAAAAGAAGAAAGTTATCTAAATTAAAATGTTTTTCTTTTGTAAATTCATGCTGTCTGACAGATTTTTGTCCTCCCCCAGCTACATATATGAGAGGGCCAGAATATTAGTAACACATCTGAATAGAACATCTTTTATTGTTTGCTAACACTTCTCTAAATCAACAGTATCCCACAGCCTGACACATGTAACCAAACCAGCATGTGCTGATGAATAGGTGGCTAGTTTAGTCGGTCATCAGGTGACAGTGTTGAGAATAATACCCAGCTTGTGAACTAGCTGAATCTTATGTGATTTACCATGAAGCTCTCCTCCTGCTCCAGCCACCGCTGGTCATCCTCCATCTGTTGCTGCTGCATCATCAGCCTCTCCTCCATCATAGCCTGGCCTACACATCCTGTGTCCTGTGGAAGGAATGGCTACTTAAAGATGCATTCTTCCTGTTTTCTTTAAGACTTGGTCATTCTGTACAGTAAATTATGAAGTCAATTATTTGCAAAGTTAAACAATTTCTCGGCTGCTGTTACTTTATTCCCGCTGCACAGTGCACTTTGCAGTCTGCTTGAATAAACAACTTCACCATACAGTCAAAGTGCCAGCACCCACTACTGTGAAGGAGTCTGCTATGCTGAATCTAAATGAAAAGTAGTCTACACAAATGAATGTGAAAGTAGAGACCTACTTTGCTTTATGGGTCATCTGCCAACTGAATAAAACATGTTTTTTATTTGCTTATTTATTAGTCTTAACTGCTATGTGTTTTCTGTGTGTGACTGGGAGTTGCAGTGTTGCATCATGAAGCTTTGATATTTGGGTTTAAGATCAAAAGAAACATCCAGCACATGTGGTTCTATAATGGATTAAGATTAGATGGGACTGAAAATATGATGGGCGGTCGCTGTTAAATGTCCTTTAAGAAACTGTGAATGTGTAATGTGTGTACCTCCATGTTGGGGCTCCACAGTGCAGTGTGTTCGGGTCTGTGTTGGTTCCAGGAATCAGTAGAAGCATAGCTGCCTCCTACTCCTCCTACACCACCTTGAGCTGTTGGCTGGAGGGGGACAGACAAAGAGAGTGGGAGAGAGAGACGCAGAGATGTAATGCAGTGTGACATTTCTTCTCTTTGACATGTTTTTCTTGGCACTTCTCCACAGCACAGTGAAAACATTTCCAATAACAAACATTTGATGCGTGCCCCCAAAGAATCTTTAAAGCCCTTGTGCTGCATTTTAAAACTCAATCAATTTATAGATGTTATTTTAACTAGAGATGTGATCATGTTTGATTTAAAGAGCAGTTAAAATGATACACACCTTATAAGGACAGAAAGAGAGAGAGGGAGTGTCTTATTGCCATAAGAGCTGAAGAGTGGCTTTGATTTGTGCATTTACAACTGTGTGTGAGTGTGTGTATTTGTATGGCTATACATTGTGAGGATCACTTTGGATATTAGACCATTCAACTGAGGACTTTTTGGTTGTTCCTCACTTTCAAAGGGCTGTTTGAGGGTTAAGACTTGGTTTTAGGTTAGAGTTAGGTTGAGCTTAGGGTAATGAGCTAGGGAATGCATTATGTCAATGAGTGTCCTCACAAAAACAGCTGTACAGATGTGCGTGTGTGTGGATTTTAGCACAACAGGAAATGCCTGCTGTCTTCTCAGTTCATGAGTAGAGGACTCACTGCCCTGAAAAGTCTCTTTTTCTCTCACTTCACTTTTCTCTGACACATGCAGCACACACTCGCTACCTTGTAATCAACAGTCTGTCTTCTGACTTTACTCACTCTCAGAACTGACATTAGTAAACTGATTTTTAATGTGACTTTAGTGATCAACATGCAAATACCAAAGGCCAAGATCACTTTGAAAGTTAAAAGGATGATTTATAGGCCTGACAATAGATTTTTCCCACACTGTAGGCCTGTAAGATAGAAATATATTTGTTAGTTTTTAAGGTGTGTAATTAATGTAACTGTCTTGGAAACAACATTCCTACAAAGTTGTGATTAAATATCTTTATTGTACTTTTTCCATACTTTAACTTCTTCACTGGATTTAAGGAGCTCAGGCAGGGCTACAGTGCCTTGTGAAAGTATTCGGCCCCCTTGAACTTTGCGACCTTTTGCCACATTTCAGGCTTCAAACATAAAGATATAAAACTGTAATTTTTTGTGAAGAATCAACAACAAGTGGGACACAATCATGAAGTGGAACGAAATTTATTGGATATTTCAAACTTTTTTAACAAATAAAAAAACTGAAAAATTGGGCGTGCAAAATTATTCAACCCCCTTAAGTTAATACGTTGTAGCGCCACCTTTTGCTGCGATTACAGCTGTAAGTCACTTGGGGTATGTCTCTATCAGTTTTGCACATCGAGAGACTGAAATTTTTGCCCATGCCTCCTTGCAAAACAGCTCGAGCTCAGTGAGGTTGGATGGAGAGCGTTTGTGAACAGCAGTTGTCAGTTCTTTCCACAGATTCTCGATTGGATTCAGGTCTGGACTTTGACTTGGCCATTCTAACACCTGGATATGTTTATTTGTGAACCATTCCATTGTAGATTTTGCTTTATGTTTTGGATCATTGTCTTGTTGGAAGACAAATCTCCGTCCCAGTCTCAGGTCTTTTGCAGACTCCATCAGGTTTCCTTCCAGAATGGTCCTGTATTTGGCTCCATCCATCTTCCCATCAATTTTAACCATCTTCCCGGTCCCTGCTGAAGAAAAGCAGGCCCAAAACATGATGCTGCCACCACCATGTTTGACAATGGGGATGGTGTGTTCAGGGTGATGAGCTGTGTTGCTTTTACGCCAAACATAACGTTTTGCATTGTTGCCAAAAAGTTCGATTTTGGTTTCATCTGACCAGAGCACCTTCTTCCACATGTTTGGTGTGTCTCCCAGGTGGCTTGTGGCAAACTTTAAACGACACTTTTTATGGATATCTTTAAGAAATGGCTTTCTTCTTGCCACTCTTCCATAAAGGCCAGATTTGTGCAGTATACGACTGATTGTTGTCCTATGGACAGAGTCTCCCACCTCAGCTGTAGATCTCTGCAGTTCATCCAGAGTGATCATGGGCCTCTTGGCTGCATCTCTGATCAGTCTTCTCCTTGTATGAGCTGAAAGTTTAGAGGGACGGCCAGGTCTTGGTAGATTTGCAGTGGTCTGATACTCCTTCCATTTCAATATTATCACTTGCACAGTGCTCCTTGGGATGTTTAAAGCTTGGGAAATCTTTTTGTATCCAAATCCGGCTTTAAACTTCTCCACAACAGTATCTCGGACCTGCCTGGTGTGTTCCTTGTTCTTCATGATGCTCTCTGCGCTTTAAACAGACCTCTGAGACTATCACAGTGCAGGTGCATTTATACGGAGACTTGATTACACACAGGTGGATTCTATTTATCATCATTAGTCATTTAGGTCAACATTGGATCATTCAGAGATCCTCACTGAACTTCTGGAGAGAGTTTGCTGCACTGAAAGTAAAGGGGCTGAATAATTTTGCACGCCCAATTATTCAGTTTTTTATTGCACTGACTGCTGCACCTGCCAGCTTCTACCAAGATACTCTATTTTTGTATCCTATAAAGTAGTGAGGATGGCAGATTTTGAAAAGAAGGCAAATGTACAGTAGCTACATTCTGACCAAACAAAAATCTTATTAATCTCCAAACATTTTTAAAAACCAGCAATTTTCTATCCAGCATGTCAAATGTGTGAGGTCTTTTAAGAAGGCAAAGAAGTAATATTATTCTCACTGCTGGAACTGTGCATGTGTGCATGTATTGTGTGTTTGGCCTTACTGTAAAGTGGTTGTGCTGGGGGCTGGAGAAGAAGTCTTCACTGGAGCGAGGACTGGGGTATCCTGGTCTACTGGGCTACAAACAGAAAGATAACACCACTTTGCTTCTGTTTAGTAGCCATGCCAAACCTACCTACTGAAATATAAAAAAAAAATCCACACAGCAAGAGAAATTGGTAAATAAAGTCATTGAGTCTTACTTTAGGTGGTGCTTCATCAGTCCCTCCAGAGTCCCAGGACACTGTGACTTGTCTCCTCATCTCCATTCGAAGTCTCTCCTCTTGTTGAAGCTTCTCTTCCTCCAGTATAGTGCTAATTAAAAAGTTAAATATGAATGAGAAGTGGTGAGAACTAGTTACTTTCCTTATGTGGGTCTCCCATCACTGATCCCCAGTATTTCATCATGTTTAATGGAGGATATATAATAATCTGTAAAGCCATACGCACATTTATTTAACAATATATTTGTCTAAAAATGAAGTGTGTGTTATGTAAAGATGTAAAACCAAAATACAACATGAAAATAAGAAAATTAACAGTATTTATATTCAGCACATACTATAAATACATATACTTAAACATAGGTTACATGTTAGCACTTGTTTGCACATATGTGCACATGGACACAAACAAAAACATGCTATTACCTGAGTTGTGTCTTGAGTTCGGTGAATCGTGGTCGCTTGCTGGGGTCATATGACCAACATTTGGTCATCAAACTGTAAAGGGTGGGAGGGCACTGAGTAGGCATCGCCAGTCGCTCGCCATTCTCTATCCTGCCAATCACGTCATTGTTCTTCACCCCTTGGAAGGGTTTGATCCCGTACATCAAGATCTCCCACATACACACACCTACACAGAAACAAACAGACAGGCCTCTTTAGGACTGAAAATGACTGAAAACCATTCTCATAACACCACCTCTAATCATACTCATAGATTAGATTAGTAGCAGAACTCACCAAACATCCAGACGTCACTGGCAGAGGTGAATCTTCTGAAGTTGATAGATTCAGGAGCCATCCATTTGATTGGAAGCTTCCCTTTAGATGCTGACACAAATATAAAAAATAGAAGCATTAAAATTGCATTTTTATAATTTCAATAAATCTGTGACTTAATTGTGCTAATTGTTAATTAGCAACAAGAAAAAGGTTAGAGATGAGAAGGAGGAAGTGCTAAATTAAAATGCCAATAGTCAATATGCCCTGCGATGGATTGGCGACCTGTCCAGGGTGTACCCCGCCTTTGCCCGATTGCCGGCCGGGATTGGCTCCGGCCCCTCCCATGACCCCGTTCAGGGATTAAGCGGTAGAGAATGAATGGATGAATAATAGTCAATATAAACTGCAGTAGCCATATGGCACCAGTAGATGGCGGTAAAGCAATAAAAACTAGAAAATACAGGCAAAAATATTACTGGGACTAGAAACACACACTAGTCTCACCAAACCACTGCTCACTGCACTATGTTCTATTAACCAACAACACAAGGCTGTAGCAAAACAAACAAATATCTGTTTTTAGTGTTTAGGTGATAACCTATAACAGTTTGGAGGGTTAGGATATTAAAAACTGTTCTGAATATTTTATTCAATGTTCTATGCCATAACAAAGGTGTGTTATGTGTGTATGGGCTTCAGTGTGCAGGTGGTGTTTTACCTTTGTAGTAAGAGCTGTCCTCCATGTATCGAGACAGACCGAAGTCTCCAAGCATCACGCAGTCGACTGAAGAGACCAACACGTTGCGTGCTGCTATATCCCTATAAGGCAAAAATGGCTGTGGTTAATCATAGATGCTATTTGTCATTTATTTGATGCTAAAAATTCATCAAAGAGCATGAGAGATGTACTATGAAACACAGTGGCTGGATCTGAAAACCATTCCATATTTCCTCCAAATTGTAGATGTCCGTTTTGGTAGAATACAGTATATTTCCCTCAAAATTTATGCAACAGATAAAAACATGTAGTGTCCATAACATATACATATTGTTGCTAAAAATCCCACAACAGAAGACTTTACCTTTGATAGATGTTAAAATTACAGATATTCAACAGTGCGCATGCCACAGATGATGACTGACAAGTGACTCAAATCTCAAATAGAAAATTCCATTGCACACCAGGTGTGTGCAAGTGATATGCTAAGCTTACATATTCTTCTTTATTTAATTTGTGCACGACTTCAAGTTTGTGAGCAATGCATTTGGCATTGCAGTTTCTTCAGGATCACTGCTGCTATTAATGCAGCATGAACTCTCCCCTAGTGAATTCCTCAAGCCAGTTTGTCTAATCTTGATTGAAGTGTATTTGTGCAGGTCTGTGTGTGTATGTTTACCTGTGTACAAAGCGTTTGCTCTCCAGATAGGCCAGTGCTGTACTCAGCTGGTAGGCAAACAAAATGAGAGTGGCCAAGTCCAGACTGTACTTCCTCACCTGCAGGAATGAACGCAGCTAAAGACAGAGAGGGGAAGGTGGTGAGAAACACGGGGTCATAATGATAGACTTGCAATTTTACACAGTGTATATCTGACACAGTACATTCCGTTAGTGCACATCAACTTTATAATGAAAAAAAAAAGTAAGGATAAACAGTGAATTTTTTTCTAATTTCAAGGCTTATCCAAGCAACTGCCTCCTTTGTATACTGACAAGAAGTGAAACACACTATGCTACAAACAAAGAACACAAAGAGCGTACTTCTCCGAGAGTACAGAGCTCCATGATGATCCACACCGGGTTCTCTGTGATCACTCCAATCAGTTTAACAATGTGAGGGTGGTCGAACTGTCGCATCGTCACTACAAGAAAAGGGAATACACCTATTAAAGATGAAATGAGTCTGGGTCTGCTAATGAGTCAGGCTGATACACACACACACACACACACACACACACACACACACACACACACACACACAGTGCGGGCTTACAGGCTTCTTGTAGAAACTTTTCTCTGACACTGTCTGATGTACAGTTTTTACAGGTCTTAATGGCAACAGGCAGAGGTGGTTTGTCCTGCAGAATACACCATACACAGGAGTTAGCAGATTATAGATTAGGAAGTACAAGGATATTTGAAAGCGGTATTCCAAATTAACTTTTTTCTGCTTTGCTTAGCTTTTTTACTACCAACAGAAGATCACAATATGACAGGACTATGCAAAATCAAATGTAAATTAATGCTTAATACAATGAAAAGACAAAACTCTTCATGTGTCAAGACTGGGTCTATAGTTGAATAGTATTCTGTGGCTGAAAACTGACAACCATTTTGTATCTCAACATCTGTAAAAGAGATTTTATGCTATAACTGCTGCTTTTATTTGTTTTTTGTTTGTCTGAAGATGTGTAAAGGCATGCCTCTGTGACAAAGTGCATGTATTGCTACATACTGGGCTGCTGTAGACACCTTGGTGTACATCTCCGAACTGACCCTCTCCTATGCAGCGGCCTAACTCTATCCTGTCCCTCTGGATCTCATAGTCCCGTGCTGAGAGAGAAGAGAAAAGAAGAAAACAAGTGCAATGAGTGAGACATGTATGTGTCCCTGCTGTTTTTCAAACACCGAAAAGACAAATCATGCTTCTCTAAGACCACGGGGATAGGGTTTACAGGACAAAACTGTTTGAATCAGTTGTATAATTTTTTTGAATCACAAAAAAGGAACTAAAAGTACCAACATACTTTTTGCAATAAATTGTCAACAATATAGCTGTAATAAAATAAGTCATTAATAATGAAAATTCTGTGTGAATTCCCTTCCATTAACTACACAAACCTTGACATGCACACTGCAACAAAAAAATTATGAACACATCAACATACGGTAAACCAATTTAACAGGGAAATGTAAGGTTCATAAACAAGTTGTGTTCACATGCACACCAAAGTCCCATTATCATTTCTGTTTCATCATGCATACTGACAAAGATGAAAGTGGGCTGAAAAGAAATAAATTAACAACTGTTAGATAAAAACCTGGAGTGTTCTGTGCATGGAAACAACAGGATCAGCTGCTAACTTAGCAAAGCAGAGACTAATGTCTGACTCTGGAAAAATGGTCAAAAGACAAGAGAAACTGGTGATACACTGGATTTAAAGTGTATTAAGTGTTTTTGTGCTTGGCTGTAACCTCCTTATATTCAGTGAGTGTGCTTGTTTTTGAAAATGTCACCCACATGCTTTGGCATGTTAACTCTGACGTTATGTTTTATCAACATTTCCACATTGCTGAAAGGGTCATGAAACATTTCTACAGAGGTGTAAAAATGTCAGCTGTCGACCAATTGCAGTAAAACTGGACAAAACACTGAATTCAAAAGGTTTTAGGACACTGGCCATCAGGGACTTATCCTGTAAAAGTTTACTCATCTGTTGGGCTAAGTAAAATCTGGTTATGATTCAACCATCAGATAAACACAGTAATATAAAAAATAATATCATAGCCAAAACACATTCTATTATAAGGATTTACAGAAATTAATCCATACTGATGTTCACTTGCAGGAAATTAACAAAAAAGAACCCACAGACAACTTAATAAATAAAACAAAACAAAACATATGACTATAATAATAAATCACAATAAAGAAATAAAAATGTCACAGCCTAACATGACGGTGAAATGAGAAGCAAGCCAATAAACAATCCAAATAATTGTAATAAGTGTTTAATCCACAGGTCTGGAGGCACTTCATGTTCCTATATCCTGATCAAACTACTAATGAGGAAACACTGCATTGTTTATGGATTTGCTCACCCTTTCATTTCCAACAGGGGACCCAAATGAACTGCAGACCACAAAAACTCCAATGACCACAAGTCAACAACAACCTGGATATAAGATACCTTGAGTCTTAGTATTTTTCTTTGCCGGGTACTAATGGTAGCAGAAAATGCCTTTACCAGTCCCTAACTACTCAACAAAAGCACATCATTGATACTGCTGCAAATCAGCAGGTATTGTTATTTTTAAATAAACAAGATATCGTGCAGCATGTTTCAGTGGGAAGGATATTAAACAGGGTGTCTGTCTCTAAGTGTCAGCCCTGTGATAGACTGGCGACCTGTCCAGGGTGTACCCCACCTCTCACCCAGTGTTACCTGAGACTGGCTCCAGCCCCCCCACAACTCTGTTCAGTATAAGTAGTATTGATATGGAAGGATGGATATTAAGCAAATCTGTTTCTATAAGTTAGTGAAGTGCCTGGCAAAGAAAAAAAACTTCTAGGCATTCCAGTAGGACGGAATGAGAGAGACAGGCAGGTTTACCTTCAATTACTCCATAGCTCACTGTGTTGGCGATGGGAAACAGAGGAAGAGAGAGAGATGAAGAGAGGGGGAGAGCCAGACAGCTGCTTTAAGACTGAAAATAGCTCACATCACACACACACACACACACATAAAGACAAAGACAACCATCCCATTTCACTCTTCATCTGATGTGTAGTTAATAAACATGTTAATGAATGAAAAACTTGATGCTGCCACTGAATGAACCGGTTTGAGTCATAGCTGTCACTGTTCTGCAGCTTCATTTTATACACAGAGCAGACAGTATGAAATAAGCACAGATACAATCTCAAGCACAGAGGTGGAAAATACATCAGAAGTCTGCAGAAAGTCTGTTTAGAGGAAGTCACAAAAAGACAGAGACCAACAAAAGGAAAGCGAAAGAGACAGAGTAATAAAGCAAAATGGACAAATATAGTTAAGACCAAAAGACAGGAAAAGGGCTGCGGGAGGAAAGGAGAATACAGTCCACAATCGAACACATGAATACTGGACAAAAGATCCACGTAGAGAGTACTGCACCAGAGGGCTGAAGCCACCATCATTTACAGGGCTAGCGCCTCACTTACAAGCACATTCGGGGCTTTGACTAACACATGAATGAATTTGACAGATGTAACATGTCTCCATGAACCACATGTATACAGTTTGAGTTGTAGTGTCTCTGACCTCCAGCCAGTGTCTCTACTGTTTGTACAAGATGATGAAACTGGGTTGAATGTGATTACCTAACCAAAAACTGTTTAATGCAACCTCTCCGCTCCCTTGCATGAGTGTGTTTCTTGGAAAAGAGTCACACCACATTCAGTGTACTAGGTAGCAGAAGGAAATTGTTTGCTTGAGAATGTAAGCATCTGACAGAAGAATAACAGTGAAACTGTTGCTTTATAGTTCTTTTGTGCCAGTGCAACAGGAGCTCATTATCTTTAGTACAAATATTTAAGTTGGTAGATGAGGCTGAAAGAGAAGAAGAAAAAATGACTTACTGGACGGCATAGTGTATGTGTCCTCTTCATCAACTATCTCCGCATAGTCATCGGTCTCTGTAATGTTACAGACAGCGTTTAAAAAAAACAAATATATGAAACCAATAAGAAAAAACACAAGTCTAAAATAACACAAATACACAACCAAAAGAACTGCGGACAAGCTGCACAACTTTTCTACTATGGTGCAAAGGCATGCTCTCAAATATATGTGCAGCATAAAACAAAACACACACACAAAAAAAACCTTTAAAATAAAGCAGCTAACTCTTATAACTCAGTTTAAACAACTCCTGCACAAAGCAACACCCACGTCAAGCCTCCTTCTCTCTCTCTCTCTCTCTGTCTCACACACACATTTGGCAGAGAGTGTCAGCTGAGCATGTGTTGTGTGTATCTGTCTGTGTGAGAGCAGCTGGGCTGCAGGGAGTAGCTGTGGTGGTGGAGGAAATAATGACAGAAAGGAGAGACTTTAAAAGAGACGAGTAAAAATGAAAGTGCAGGAAAGAGAAACCAGGATATCAAAGTGGGGCACAAAGAGAAGAGAGAAGAAAAGAAATCATGTCTTGATGTTACGTAAGCAGATGATACATTTAGAACAAAATTTATGTAGAATCAGACAGAGAGAGAGAGAGAGAGAGAGAGAAGAAAGCCAACATGAAAAAGAGGGAGAAAGATGTACAAGTGGTGTGCAGACTCAGCTGGTGGAAACAAGAGTCACTTCCAGCTCAGCATGTCCGGTTAGGCTCTGTGGGAACACATCCCTAACTTTATCAGAAATCCTTTTCTTAAGCCTGGGATGATTCTGACCACCACGTTGAGGAAGCTGAAGAAAGCACTACTGGCTAGTGCTTTAGTTGCTAATGTAAAGGAGGTGGAATAAAACACTGGATATTGTGTACATTATATTGGTGCATGAACAGATAGTTTGACATTTTGTCAAGTAAGAAATTCGCTACCACTCTCAAGTCTTTATGGCAAAAATAAAGAGTCAGGAGGCAGCTAGCCTAATTTAGCATAAACATTTAACCTGGCTCTGTCCCAGTGTAAAAATCAGCCTGCCAGTGGCTCAAATGGTCCCTTCTATTTGTTGACTCTTCAGACAGAACCAAGCTACCTGTTTCCCTTTGTTTTCAGTCTTTATGATAAGCTAAGCAAACTGGTTGTAGTTCCATATTTATAGGACAGACATCGAAGTGATAACAAGGCAAACTGTACATTTCCTATAACCTCCACCTACTCCTTTTGGGGTTAGATGAATGAAACTGCAACAGACAGTGAATACTTGATATGTACAACAGCCTGTAAGAAAAGAGGGTGAACATTTTTTTTAACTTTTAATCAAACAGGCTTTTAATAAACTACTGCTTGACTTGATTTATGTTCCATCTAAGAGGAGAGGAAAGCCTTTAACGTGCTTCTAAAAATATCATATAAGCTGGAGCAACAGTTCTGCTTACTCTGTTGCTGCTACTAAAATGCATTTTCTTTTGGATAAACTGGTCATAAAAGCAGCATATTAGTAAAGGTTGGTTTTCATCAGTCATTGCTTATTTGCTGAGGCATGTTTTCAGCAACGTTTCAGAAACATTTTAGTCTTTTATAGTTCTTTTAATCTAGCAAGGCTAGTCCGTATATCCATATGTACAGTATGTGGTGATTTTAAACTTGGATTGTTTTCTCACTTGTTCATTGCCTTTAAATCTGCAACTTATTTAGATGGTTTTACTCCAATACAAGAAGAAATATTTTACCCAGATTTGTTAGTTTCTACTGTGAAGTCTGTTGTTTTTAACCACTGCATATTCATCTGCGGCCTTGTGGTTTGGGATTTATTCTAAAGAATCTAACTGTCTCAAATTTGAAAGTCTTTCTTTCTGCTTTCAGGGGAGGGAAAGCGTGTGTGTATGTGTGTGCTTGCATGTGTGTTTGTGATCTTTTTAGCCCATTATAGCCAGGAATGCACTCGCTCTTGAATCCAGCAAACCTCTCCCTACTGTGTGTGCACAAGAGTGCGCATAAATGTATGCAAGTACACATGTGTGTGGCTGTGTGCATGGAGAGAGAGAGAGAAACCTTTGGAGAGGTTCCCTTAAAGAGAAATGCCACTTAATTTTCCAATTCTTTTTTGTGTCATTCTTGTGGTTAAAAGCAGACATTTCAAATTTAGTGGTATTCCACTTTCAAAATAATCACAAATAGACACAGACATGAACACATAAACATCTGGAAACATAATCCTAAAATAATATGCCACTCTAACTATTAACAGATCAACCTCAAAGTCACTGGCAATTTATTCATGTTTCCAATCACTATATTAAGCTAAATGATCACTGTGCTCTAAACCATCTGGCTCATTTAAATCACATCCTATTTACAAAACAGAGCACATACACACAGAGCTATTGTTAAAGAGCATGCAGAAACATCAGCCCACACACACCAATACACACATGCTACCCTTTCCCAGGGGGGTGCAGTGGGTTGGTGGACTGAGGAGGACAAGAAAGAAGGAAACAACAGAAAGACTGATAAACAAGAGCAGAACTTTACCATCCCCACTTAGATCTTCTGCAGGATCCAGGAGAGCATGCAGGAAACAGGACAGCAGAGGAGGAGGAGGAGCAAGAGGAAAGCACAAGGCAAAGTAGAGGAGAGAGAGAAGAGAGGAGAAGTTAGAGCATGAAAAGCCCTGAAACAAAATGGGAGATGTTGCAGGATCTGCAAAGCCAAACACTCAGTCAGCAGTTAGTTAAGATCCAAAATATCTCCAGCAAACAAGTGGAATTGACATCTCCTCTTAAAGGTGTGCCAAAGCATAGCAGTAAAATGAACAAGTGGGAGGAAACAACAGTAATGCTGTAGGAAGTGTTTAAATGCACTTTAAATATTTGGGACTTGGAGGGTTAATGTATTGTTAGAAGACAACAAATCAGCTGCTGTCCAGATCCATGACTTTTAATTTGAGCAGCCCTGATACGGATGACAGCTGCCAAGCCACAGATGGAGACACAAGGACATGAGCTAACCCACTCAGTGCAGGACATGCATACTGTATAGATGGAGGAAATTTAGTAGAATTACAATGCCCCATACATTTCATGTGTTTACACTATCATACACATGATTTGTTCCAAAAGAGAAACTGTGTTGCCATTATCTTCCTTAGCTACAGAGCAACATCACTGAGTGGTAGTGATCTGTTACTTAAGCGCACTTCAACGAAACAGACACTTGGTGACTGAACCCAGATCCCCTAACAACACAGCCATCCTGCTATGAATTAAGCTCCAATCCTTTGAACTAACTAACATAAATCACTGAAAATGATGATTAAATATAGCCAATCTGTGACCTCAACAGCAAAGCATGTGCTGAATTGAGACCTGAGAGAAGTGTTTTATTCTGTGTCAGTGCCAGCTACTTAGAGTCATGTCATTCTGTTTAATCTCACAAAGAGGAACATGTCACTGACAGCAGGTAGAAGTAAATACTTGTGATAGGTAAAACATAAAAACAAAAAAAATTAACTAATATAAGTGCATCAAAACACACATAAGCCTCCAGTTTTCCAATAGATACAGTACTTCTTCTTCATCGGTGTCCATTTTAGTGAGCATCAGCTTGATCATTTGCAGAAAAATACAACATGGTTATTGTGGTTGAACTGACAATATTAGTCAAAGCCACCATGCAGTGTGGACAAAGACAGTTTAGAAGAAGAGCGTATCCTTAAAGATGATAGTTATGAATCCACAAAACCATCTAAATTTCACATTCAAAACTGAAATAACCAAAAAAAGGTGTCAAAACTGTCAATATTTTGAATCTGCGTAATTTGTAATATTCTTGACCAAATTAGTGCTACAAATCAATCAAGCAAATTAAAGTTATACTATAAAAAACCCCATCACCATATGTGTCCTTAATGCAAAGAAACAATACACAACAATCAAATGAGGCACTTTATTCCACCACATCAGAATTTTACGGATATGCTCCTCTGCTAACTGTCCAATGAGAGCCAAAGATACCATTGGGTGGTGAATCTGAACAGAAGACAAAAGGGAGGAGGAAACGCCGTGCCCTGGTTGGCTTGGGAGGTGTCGATGTCACTAGGTCTTCAGCCAGTGAGGCAGGGAAAAGGGACCAGAGTGTGACAGAAAAAAATAGAGTGAATGGATTTTAATGAGTATGGAGGGAGAGATGTGAGAAAGACCAAGGCAGAGAGGAGGAAGTAA